TTAACCACCACACCACCTGTTGGCCCCTAGAGATAGATATTTAGAAGATAGGTAGGCAGGTAGAGGATAGATAGATGACAGATACACAAATAGAGTTAGAAGATAGATCGATGGGTGCTAGATACACAGATCCAGACCTAGATAGAAGATAGATAGATGATAGATATGGCTAGCTAGCTAGATGATCGATACGTAGATAGACAAAAGGTAGACAGAGAAATGACCACTACATAGATCGATGCTAGGTATAGATATATAGAAGATAGGTAGAGAGGGGCAGGATGGGCAGAGAGAGAGAAGAGGGCATTTATCACGGGAACAGGCCTCTGAGATGCGGAGGCCAAGAAGTCTCCTGTTATGTCACCTGCAAGCTGAACAACCAGGGAGACCGTGTGTCATTCAGCCCGAGACCTAAGAAACTGGGAATTGCTGCTGTAAGTCCCAGAGACTGAAGACTGGAAAACCTGGACTTCCGACGTCCAAAGACAGGAGAAAAATGGATGTCCCTGTTGCAGAAGAGAGAGCACATTTATGCTTCTTGGGCCTTTTGTCCTCGCTGAACAATCAATGCATTGGAGGGTGCCCACCTCTCCTGGAGAGGGGGGAAATCTTCCTTCTTCCGTCCCCTGACTCAAATCTTTTCTGGAAACACCCTCGGAGACACACCCAGAGATCATGTTTTACCAGCAAGCTGGGCATCCCTTAGCCCTGTCACGGTGATGCCTGAATTACCATCACAGTGACTCTTGTTTGCAGATCACCCCTACGGAGCAGGGCATGAGGACAGTGACTCAGCTGGTGGCCACCTACCCCCAGGGCTTTCAGACCTGGTTGGGCCCTATCACGCCCATCATCAGTTTGTGTCACCCTGACGTCATCCGGTCTGTCACCAGCGCCTCAGGTATCCATGCAAGGCTTGTGGTGGTGGGTGCCGTGGCAATCTGAGTTTCCAGCCTCCCATCGCCAAGCTGCCACATGGTCTCCCGTAGGACCCTGGCCCTTCTTCCTTCTCTCTGTTTCTCCATCTCCTCCCTCCACCGTCCTGGTGTTCTGAGCACCACTGGGATCCCAAGAGATCTCAATCCAAGCCTTCAGCCGTATCCCGGAGAAATCCCCAGTCTTGAGGCGATGGATCTAAACAGAGATCTCCAATGTAGCCAAGAGTTGCCGAAAGAAAGAGGGGCTGCCACAGCTCAGGAAGAAAGGTCTCTGTGAGGGTGGGTTTGGGCAGGCCGGAAGGCTTCCTGGAGGAGTTACTAGAACTGTAATCGATCTGGAACAATAGATAGGAACGTTTTTTTAAGAGCTCTATTATTTAACTTTACTTTTTAAAAAGAATTATTTTATTTAACTTTATTTATTTATTTTTAATTTGACCAGACAG